AGATTCACAGAATTTACAGAAAATGTTACATTTTTGTGATTTATATCGTTATCGGACGATAGAATTCTTATACCGGGATATGAGATTTCGGTCATATCGCACAGCCCTAGATCCAGGGCATCCAGAGCGTTGGTGGGACAGAGTCACATGCTAGGGACAGGGTTAAATGGAGGCAGATCATCTGCTGTATGAACCTGTAAAGCAGCTTGAAGAAAAAGAAGAAGAAATGAATACATTATTTGTTTAATTGAGCTAAGTTGTTTCTTGTGTTTTGGGTGCTATAACACAGTAATTTCCCAACATTTGGGATCAATAAAGTACCTTCTTATTATTCACATTAATGTTATATGGAGGGACAAAAGATAACAAACAAGTACATTTAATGTCATTATTTTATAAGGATGCATCCGATTAATTATGTGCAATAATGTGTTTAGATAAATAGAGCAATAGGCATAGGTACATTAGTTGAAAAGTTATATCACCAGATTTAATGGTGCAGGTGTCTAGTTAGTAACTAGTTCCAAAGACTTAACATACAAAGTTGTAGGATTTACGAAAAGGTAGTAGACTTTCTTCAGGACACCACATGTGGTGTCTGGCAGAACATTACTAAACACGTCTCTGACTTGCCATCAGATCGCGCACTTCCAGAAGGAATTGGATGACCTTAAGGCACGAAGTGCAAAAGCTGACTTTAAGGTTGGTGCTGATGAGGAAATGAAGGAGTTGAGGAAAGAGTCAGAAGACCTCCATATTTTCACCCTGGAAATCAAGGAAACTACAGAGGTAAGACAATGATTGAAACACTGAGTCCTGTCCACAGACTGCTCTTCTTCCTTTTAACATTTGATGTTGAGAAAGCCAGTAAAAATCATTTCGAACAACCCTAAATTCTGCAACCATAAGACTTCAACCACTGTGACTTTAGAGTCCTGTCTGAAGTAGTGTTTGGAAGATGGTGTCACTCTAGGTTGATAAATCATTTAAAACCTCCTCTCAAGCCTTTTTGTGTGTGTGTCTGTAATCTTTAGTCACTCCATGGTGACATTGGCACACTGAAAACTTCGCTACTGGAAGGCTTTGCTGGGGCAGAAGAAGCCAAGACCCAGAGTGAACTGAGCAAAGACAGAAATTACAGACAGCTACTTTACAAAAAGCCTCTGGACCCACGCAGTGAGGAACAGCTCAAGGTGAGAAATAAAAGGACAGATTACCCCAAAATTGTTTGCATGAATTGACAGTTTTAAGGTTTTACATATTCTTATAAAAATAATCTCCTTCATCATGTATATTTGATCTTTTCTTCATTTTTTTTTTTAATTCAGGAGATTCGAAGGCTATACCAGTATGTTATGTTCACTGTGGAGGATGTTAATGATGTCTTGGATGTGGAATGGGAGAAACACTTGGAGAAGAAGAAAAAGCAGAAGTGAGAAAATGGCAGATAATCCCACCAGCAGTTTGTGTTGTATAGAAAGAGAGAATAAAAAATGGGATTGAGTATAATTTGTTATTAAATAAATCTCTTTACAGACACATGGTTGTGCCTGGACGTGAGGGTCTGTTCACTACACTGTCCAACAATCTGTACATCATCAACCAGCAGAAGAACAGACTGGACCAGCTGGTTAAGGAGCTCAATTCACTACGCCTCTACAGCAAAACAACCACTCCTGCTATAAGTCCTGTGACAGCAACGACAGCTAGGTAAGGCCTGGCTGCAGAATGTGGGGGAAAAAAACAGAGATTTAAGAGGAGATTAGGAGTTAGTTATGTGGGGTAGTTTAAGGAAAGACTTAAGTTTTAAGTTAACCATTATCTATGGTTTATACGTCAGTTTTTAAGTTATTAAAAAGGGTTTTAGTCAGCTTAAACATCTTGTATGGTAAAGAATGGTTCCAAGCAGCATTCCTTATACTGTATGGATGTTCACACGCTTCCATTTGCTCCTTTTGGATAAAAACACCATGTTTTTGTGTTGTTCTTAGTTTGGAAAATGACCTTGAGACTTTAAGAGATGCTCTCCTGAAAACCAGGCTGGACCCTACCCCTTCTAAGACTATATCTCCAGGTATTGATTTTTTTCCCCCCCTACAGTCTGCATAAAAACAGCACAGGATATATTTAATTATTTCAGTATATTTTTCAGTATATTTCAGTATGTATGATGTCTCTGCAGCCGTCAAGATATCACCAGTTAAACAGTCCCAGCTGCGCAACTTTCTCTCAAAGGGACAGATGCCTCCTGTCCGCTCAACTGCACCAGGTACTAGAAATTTATGGTTACATGAAAGTTTTATCCTAAATGTTCAAATGATTGTGGATTTCGCCTTTTGAAAAAGTATACAGCAAGCCTGATTTTAAAGTAAAGGGATGTTAATCAAGCCCTCTTAGTGTGTTTCATAATAAATCATAGTAAATCTGAGTGCTAATTTCATGTCGACAGGCGCTTTTTCCTCACAACTGCAAATACCAAATTCAACACCCGCTTCATTTGAGTGATATTAATATTGAAATCCCTATGCTGATGCTCATACTGTGTAATGCAGCAGCACCTCACATATTGGAATCGAAATGTATTTCTTCATTTTTCTGTTTCAGCCAACCTATCTCGCTCAGCCTTCCTTTCACCTAAATACTACGAGGACTTGGATGACGCGAGTTCAACATCTTCCCTGTCCCAGTCCCTGGAGCCTCACCCACCTAACTTAGAGCAAGAAGAAGAGGAGCTGCAGACACGGCCCCCTCCCATGTCCTCCATACCTCCAACATTGTCCACCCCCCGCCACCCTACCGTTGTGAGGACCCCCTCTATCCAGCCGGGCTTCGGAGCCATCCAGTCCACCCCTTTATCTAAAATTCAGTCAGGACAGGGTATGGGCTTTGGACTCAGCCCTATTGCCAGCCCCAGTAAGTAAATTATACCAACTGTTGCTGTTCATAAAAAATTACGAGGACGCATTCATAAATAATAAATGACTTCATGTTATAATGACATATTTTACTGAAAATAATGTAAAGTAATGTCGCTAGTCTTAGATGTGGATATTTTTTAATAGATATTGATTACTGCATTAATATTCCAGTTCCAACAAATAAGATCAACCTCAGCGGGGCTGAGAGCACAGCTCTCGCCACAAAGACAGTCAAGCATGGAGCTCCACCAACCGAGAGGACCGCACCCATCACCATCTCTGCCCAGCAGGCTGCAGCCACTGCTGCTTTACGCAGGCAGATGGCCAGTCAGTTGGGTAAGTAACATTGTGCAGCAGTCAAAAATGTATTTATTTGTTTTTAAACAATGAGGAAGCTGTGCACATTTGTTTTTAGCTACAGTGGGCATTTGGGCATCTTTTAAATATTATTTTGTTATTCCCTCAGTAATTCACCAGGGGGAGACAAAGACTTAGAGAACAAATAATTTGTAACTGTTAGCTCATTACCCCATCCTGCCTAAGAGTAATTTGCTAAAATGTTTCCATGTAAACAGAGCAGGCTTAAATAAACCTGGAGACATTCAGTTTGATTGCTACTGTCTCATCTGGTACCTTTTTTCCAGCTGTGAATTGCTCTAATATGCATGTGTTTATATTCCAGCTGTGATCAATACTTCACTGACAGAGTCCACCTTGAAGACTGTTCCTCAGGTGGTCAATGTTCAGGAGTTCAAGGACAAGGGGACTCCTGTGGTGGTTCCTTCCAACATCAGGTAAAACCTAAAACGAAGGTCACTTCTCACCCCCACTCCTTTAAAGGCAATTGAGGGAAAGCAGATAAAATGTGTCAAGGGTAAACTACAAATACGGCAAGACTATAGCTTCCAAATAAGATAGTAAACCCAAAGTAGAAGTCTATTTGTTTTTATTTTTGGTCAGTGTTACAAACTATTCCTCTGTATAACTGTGAACAAGATTACTGGCATTACCTAAGACTTATTATTTGTAGCTATTAAAAAGAATCAGTTGGAAAATCAGTTAATAACCAATTCCTTAAAGATTAGCAGATATTTAGACATAGGTGTGGGACACTTGGATGTACTTGATCAACATGTAGTTGAAACATTTTTGATGTATTCTTATTTTAATAATCACTAACATAGTCAGTAATATGGGGGTGATACTATAGCTTAACGGGGTGACCAGGCAAGAGATATGGTAAAGGCTGCTGCGAGGGTCCAGGCTCAAGCCCACTTGGACCCTTGCCATAAACATACCACTAAATAATGTAAATTTGATTATATTTTTGTGCCATGTGAAAACTGTGCCCTCTTATGGTTGTGCTGATGTTCCCAGCTCCTCGGTACCAGATCCAGGATCTCAGGTCTTTGCAACAGTTTCTTCCAGTCAAGCCAAACGGGTGAGTATTTTACATCCATCACTCTCCGACCTGTCATTTTGTCTTTGACTTTCTCGTTACTGTTACTTGGGTGACATATTAATTCAAATTAAATAATCTTTACAACACAAATCTCAGTTGACTTGCATCTGAAATATTTGAAACAGTTTTTATCTATATTTTAAGGAATAAATAAAAACTTTAAATTGAAAAAAAAAATCATGTAAAAATAGTGTACTTTTCTAAGGAGTGCCAGCACAAACAAATGTCTTCCGTTTATTTTGATGTGTCCACGTTCTAAATAGTAAAAGTTAGGTATATTCATAGCTTTATGTTCGTCTTCTCACAACTTTCAAGAACATTCAGCATGTGAGAATTCACAGTTTGCTGACAGTTTTTCCTGTGAAGACCATTATCAAGATGGGTGAGAAATGTCCCACCTCCCACCCATGTTGATGTTACAAATTACAGTTGGGTGACAGGGGTACTCCTCGCAGAAATCCTGTTCTTGTGTAGCCCCAAGTTCATGTGCTGCACGATTACCTATAGACATTTGTTTTGTTTTTTTCTCTATATCTGCCTTAAGTTCATGTCTTAGTAGACTTGAGCTTTCACCTGAAACAATCCTGTGTGTTATATTTTTTTAAATCGTGAATGCATCATAGTAGTGTTGTTTTTCTGTAAGGTTAACAGTTAAGCTGTAATATTAATTTCATACATGTATTTAAAACTGTCTCGGCAGAATCCTGTCCAGGGTGTCCAAAAAATGCCTGCAGAGACTACAACCATCCCACAGAGCAGTTTTGTTTTTGGTAAGCACTGTTACGCACACACACACACACACACACACACACACACACACACACACACACACACTGTAAAATCCTGACATTGACTATAAACTTTTTCTTTCAGGTCAGCCGTCCAAAACTGATGCTTCTGTTGCTCCTCCTAGCTCAGCTGAGCAAACCAGCAGCAAGGGTTTTTCTTTCAATTCAGTGTGAGTTGATGTTTATAAATATAATATATTTTTAATGGCCCAGCAGTATTTTATAGATTATACACTATGTTTGTGATTATTTTTGTCATAAAAACACACTATAATAGAAAATGTTTTAAAACACATTCCTCTAAAGGCCAAATTATTTTGTAACCTGCACTCGGGGGTGTATATGAAATGCATCCTCTCACAAAGGATTTGGGCCAGCTTACTAAAGCTTTCCATCAGCTTACAACTATGCTTGACTGGGTGGTAATAGCTCCTGGAGAAAAATCACAAGTTGTGTACTGAAAGAGTTCTCTAATGTAGTCCAAATCTAGCCTAATAGGAGAAGAAACTGTAGGTAGGGGTGAGCAAGTGTTTACATGACTGTATTGCTGAGATTGTCTTGTTAATCCAGCATTTTTCACACGTAAATATGTCTTGTTACAAAATATAATGAGCATCTCACTGTTGTTGCATTTAAACTTAAATGGTGTTTTTTTTTTCAGGTCCTCAAGCTTCAGTTTTGCTTCAGTTACACCAGGAGCTGGAATGCCACAAGGTACAAATGATATAGCAGCTTGTTAGGATAGATGTAGGAGCTGTGAGATTACTGATGCACATTATTTCTGTTTTTCTTTCTCCTGTTTCTCCAGTGAAAGATGCAAGTAAATTCTCTTTTGGTGGAAATGGTAAGATGGTTTTTGGCCAGGCTGGAGAAGAGTCATTCTCCTTTACCTCAAAGTCCACCTCCCCTGGTCTTGGCACTGGGTCTCCCACTTTGGCTCCAAACGCAACAGTTGAAGGTGCTAAACCCACCTCGACCACAGCCGCTCTGAGGATAGAGCCACAGCCTCCAAAGACAGCTGGTGGCGAGACTCTGGGCATTTTTTCTGGACTAAGGGTGGGCCAAGGAGAAGAAGCTAAAGATTCCTCCACCAAACCTGCTGTGGCACCATTTACATTTGCGGACACTGGACTTGGCAAGGGCAAGGGAGCGACACAGTTTAGTTTTGGAACAGGTCTTCCAAAACCTGGAGAAGATTCTTCAGCACCAGACTTGTCCGAAGGGACCCCGTCAGGCAGTCTGTTTAAGCCTCCTGAATCAAACGCCAAGCCAGCCTTCTCCGTTCCACAGTCTGGCTCCGCCAGCTCAGCTTTCCCCTCATCTTTCAGTAGTCTTCTTGCAGCCGCACCAGAGACACAAGAAGAACCAAAAGCTGTTCCTCAGTCTTCAGTACCTGCTTCGCCCCCTATAAAAGAACCTCCCACCAGTGAACCTGAAGTAGAGACCACCAGTCGTCCTGTGATACCTGAACCTGCAGCACCTGCAACCACCCAGACCCCTGCAGTGTCAACACCTGCTCCTGCTTTGGCCACACCTGCCCCTACCCCAGACCCTCCCTCGACTTTCACTGCACCAAAAGAAGTAAACCCTCCAGCACCATCCAGTGCCCTGTCCACAACAGAAACCACCCCAGAGCCATCTACCACTGCTACTCTACCCTCTTCAACTGCTGCCACCGCAGCACCTGTATCTCAGGCAGCACCTGTATCTCAGGCAGCACCTGTATCTCAGGCAGCTCCACCAGCATTCCAGATCCCCACGTCTGACAAGCCAGGCTCCATTTTTACTCAGCCCGCTCCTGCAACTACAGACAGTAGTTCTGTCGGAGTCACACCAGTTATCAACACAGCTGCCCCAGCTGCAGCTACTCAAACCTCTACCATTGTTAGTAGTGCAACAGTGACTGCTGTGAATAACGTGTTTGGGCAACCTGCTGCACCTCCAGCTTCCTCGGTGCCAGCATCAACAGGATTCAGCTCAGCCGGGTTTGGTACATCAACTGGTTTTGGCAAATCTGTGTTTGGCCAGGTTAGTGGCTTCGGCCAGCCTGCAAGCAACACTGGAACATCGAGTGGATTTACTTTTGGACAGTCTGCATTTGGAGCGACTTCTAGTAGTGCAACTACTGGCGGAAGTCTTTTCGGTGCTTCTACTGCTACCAATGCAAGTTCTTTCTCCTTCGGGACGAGCGGTGCTAACACAGTAAGCAGCACTGGCACTGGGCTGTTTGCACAAAGCACAAACCAGGTTTTTGGCCAAAGCTCTGGATTTGGACAGGGATCTGTGTTTGGGAGTAACACCACCACATCCTCATCTTCAGGATTCAGCTTTGGACAACCGTCAGGTGAGTCTGATTCTGGACTTGATTGGATCAACTCCAATATGATGTTCAGAGCTTTTAAAGAAATCATTGGCATCTTTATTTAAAACTCCTGTAAGTTCCGTGGCTTTTTATAAATTGGGAAAATGACACCGAATGTCAGAAAGAAATTGGTATTGAAAATTCTCTCTTTTTGCACCCACCTAACAGAGACCACACTGTGTCACCGACATGGTGAAATGATCAATAACCAGAGCTTCTCGGCTGCATGCTGTTCAGTCACATTTGACAGTGATTATACTAACACTGTCTGACAGCTTATGAACTGTGATGTCTGTAAGGTTAGTGGGCAGTGGAGGATGTGCAAAGTTTTACACTCGCTCTGGCTGACCTCCACATGTTGTGGTAAATGTGGCACTTGTGTTTGAAATGGTATCATCTTGCAGGAAAGATTTGTGGTGTACTGTCAGCCTGAGTGGGATGGCGGGTGTTGTGCCGTTCCCAAAGCTTCTATAAATTCTCAGAGCAGTATGAGAATGCCACAGCTGATGTCAGTGCATTAACTCAGCAGTTAGTCCCAGCTTGGCATTCCTGATTCCATACTTTATGGGGGGTGGTCCCACTTTTTACTCTGTAGTGATGACTATAAAATGGGCCAAATCCAGTAATCTGATCTTGTCTGTGTTAATTGAATTTGTCTTTTGTTCTCAAACAGGTTTTGGCTGCTCTTCTGCCAACCCTGTGTTCGGCCAGCAGTCTAGCAGTGGATTTGGACAGGTATGACCCACTTTTTTTTTTTTTTTAACCAACTTTGGGAAATTTCTTGAATTCCCTTTCTTCTAGACAAATTTTTTGAATTAATGTTTATCTCCCAGCAGCAGCCGTCATCTGGGAGTCTCTTTGGTTCCAGTTCAGCCAATGCAGCAGTCTCATCTGGGAGTCTCTTTGGTTCAAGTTCAGCCAATACAGCAGTCTCATCTGGTGGTGGAGGATTTTTCAGCGGCCTAGGAGGCAAACCAAGCGAGGACGCTGCCAACAAGAATCCATTTGGCACCACTTCCTCCACTGGAGTGTTTGGACAGTCTAGTCAGACAGGTAGGCTAACTCAGTTCTATAAAAATGTCTTCTGAGACTGAAAAATTCATATCGCGATATAATTTGAAGCATGTGCGATATATTATTTTCTTCTGTATAACGCATTTTCCACACTATAAGGCACACTTTAAAATCCTTTAATTTTCTCAAAAAGCGAGAGTGTGCCTTATGTATGAATTCTGGTTGGGCTTACTGACCTTGAAACGATTTTGGCGTGCAGAAATCTGTTAAAAATGTTTTAGTACAACTTTGGTAAGCCGCACTGCATGATGGATTGTCAGAGCATTACGGCTGCCGTAGTGAGGAGCTTCGCGGAGTAATCTGGGTCCAAAACTTTGTCTATTCAGGTGTCAAAGTCAAACGAACACTGAGAGTTAAAAACGGTCTAAATTCTTTCATCTTTAATAAAATCATCAGCGTTGCTGCTTTACCAGGTGTAACAATTAAGTTTAACATCTATGCATCCATGAAAACAGAAGTTATTAAATTTAACGGTGTTAGAAGTTAACAGGAAGTTAGCTCGCTAGTTTCCACCTAAACATTTCATACCATGTTCTGACTGAGAGATTTTTGAAACTAATTAAAACGTACAGCTCTGCTACCACTTCCAACATAAATGAAGACAGAAAACTAAACAGCAGTGGCGTTTGCAGGGTTACTGAAGTTGGACTACCTGGTATATAATGTTGTGCTACGTGATTGCTAGCGACACAGCTATGTTAACATAACATTAGCACAGTGAAGCTGGAGGATGAACGCCAACTTTTCTTCCACTCGATAAAAGTTAACGTGAGGGATTCTGGTGGTCAGGGACAAATGCAATCGCATAGCAGGATGCTATACACGGGCCAAACTTCAGTCAGGAGAACAACTGAGATTATTCATCCACAATACAAGGTTAGTTATTAATATACTGCAACAACATGGGAACAGAACAGCTGCGAGAGAATTCAATATTAATGAATCAATGTTACGGAAGTGGAGGAAGCGCTGTTTTTGGCTTTCCCCATATTTCAAAAGTGCTTCATCTCTTTGCTATGACTGTCGCCCGCCATAATTTGCAGATGATAATGGTTTTAGCCGCTGCGATGCTTTCGACCAAAACAGGTGCAGCTTGATGACATCAACATGCGCTATCGCGATAGAGCGATATAGTCAAAATTTCTATCGTTGGCCAAATTTATATCGTTTCTATCGTATATCGTTTATAACACCCACCCCTAGTAAGATGTGATAAAACTGCAGATTAATTAGAAAATTTGAACAGTAGTTGCCGATTTATGTCAGATTCAGAAATATTTTCATCATTTTTGTTTAAGACTTTGTTCTGAGTCAGCAGTAACTACTTTGTCAAAGAACAAACCAAATAAACCCAGATCATTTTATTGTTGTGTAATTACATTTACCTGTCTGTCTTCTAGGTACCAACAGTCTCTTCGGTAATAGTGGTGCCAAGACCTTCAACTTTGGACAGTCCTCCTTTGGGGAGCAGAAACCTACAGGGACCTTCAGCACTGGTGCTGGAAGTGTGGCATCCCAGGGCTTTGGCTCATTCTCTACACCATCAAAACCAGGTACAGCTTTCCTTGTAATTTTAATGCATTTGTTCTTCACTCCCTGCTTTTTAGTCTTGATATATTTTCACACGTTTTGAAAGTTGTGCCTAGCTAGTTGTAATTCACAGGTAACGTTTTATAAGATTTATTGCTGCTGAGATTTTAAAACAAGACTTGTTTCTGTGTGCTGTTCCTCATTGCTTTGGAAAGAGCGTACTTTTGGTGAAAACTGAGAATTTTTGAGTTATGTTAATTTAAATAGATATTATAGACATGAACACAGGGCTTGAAAGCAGAGTTTAAAAACTGTCAATATTTCATTTTGGATTTGCAGCTAAAATACATATGTGCAAACTTTGACATATTTAGGAGTTCTTGTAAAAGTACAAACATCGACAATAGAAGGATCCCTTCTGTCAGACACACACACAATGTAGGCAAAAGAGAGACAACAATGAAGACATCATGTATTTTTTTTCCTGTTCAAGTAATATCTAACCACTTATTAAGGATAGACTAAATCATTCAGTGGTCTTTCTAAACTAGATCAAGTGTCATTTGGTGCTCTCCTGCTGGTGGCTGTATTTGTACATGAGTAAAAGGGAAGGTTTAAAAGACAGTAGTGAGACCTTCTATGATCCCTGGTTTGGAGACGGTGGCACAGGCAAAAGGACAGAAGGCAGACCTGGAGGTAGCAGAGCTGAAGATGCTAAGATTTTGCTTGGGAGTGACAAGGAGGAACAGGACTAGAAATTTGTATATCAGAGGGACAGGTGAGGTTGAGCCGGTGGTTGACAAAGTCAGAGAGGAAAGACTGAGTTGGTTTGAACATGTGTAGTAGAGGGATGGTGGGTATACTGTACAAAAGATGTTGAATTTGCAGCTGCCAGATGGGAGGAAAAGATCCAGGAACCAGGAAAACCACAGAGAAGATTAATGGAATTAGTGAAGGAGGACATGCAGAGGGTTGAAGTGACAGAGGTGGATGCTGGGGATAGTGTGAGAAGATGGAGGCAGATGATCCGTAAAGGGAGCAGCTGAAAGAAAAGGACATGTCTACATTATGTATATCATCAATTAATTGATTTAAATGTTTCTACATTTGTTAGTCACGCCAGACATACCAGTTGTTAAGCTAAATAATGCATAACAATAATGATTTCATTTTGTAAAACAACAGTTACCTGTTTGTTCAAAGCCGTAGCCCATCTTTTTCTGTGATGGGAATTTGTAAACAAGTGAGGTGGAAACTATGTAGATGACAAAAGTGCAAACCAGTGCATGTCTGAAACTTTGATGTAGAAAGTCAGTCACCGTATGTCGGCTGTGTCAAAGGAAACTGACATATAACCATGCAACTGAAGCCGTGTGAAACCACACGATGCACGATTATGTGGACAAGAGAAGAGAGCTACTAATTCTACTGCTGCAAACGTTGGGCGGGGGGAGTAAGCATGAAACTGTGATTAGTTCTTTCGCATTTCTTTCCAGGCCCTGGCTTAAGGGCTCTGGTTCATTGATGTGATAGTTCAGTGATAGTTGGATGACTGTGGTAGAAACAGTTTTAATACTTGGCAGCCAGTTCTTGACATTGCTCTCACCTTTTATCATCTGAGCTCTTATCTCCTCACCCCTGAGGACAGAATAAACTGTGAGGTTGTCAAAAGCTCCATTGTTCCCCGCAGAATATTATGCAGTGCCAGTCTTCTCCATTGCCAAGTCACAGTGTATGACCTCAAAGATCTGATGTTTATTTGAATTGATTCACATTTACGACACAAATGATGCGTTTAATCTACAACTATTTATTTATAATGAAATGACTGCAGGGGTACTTCCTCAATGTCTTCTTTTTTCATGGTAGTGTATCCAATCTCAGCTTCTGCATCTGACATCCCTTTTGATCACTCAAAAGCAACTATATATAGTAACCTTTCATATCTCTTTAACAACTGCCTCTTCACAAACAGACCATTTTTCCCAGTGTCTGGACACTGAGGTTTCTCTCTCCCATAGGAGGAAGATGTGTCAGTGACATCACGTCTGTTAAGTAAAGACAATAGCACGTGTGAATAAGCTTTTTGTATAAATAGAAATTTGTTATGGGCGAAAATTTTCCTATAACAAATGAACTAATCCATCCCTATACCATCATGGATGATTGCCTTTGCAGAGTGCTGATTTCAAAAGTTAGATGGTTTCTTATACTCTTTAACCTGGGTACACGATGAGTAGGACTGTGAAAAAGAAATTCAAATTTTCTTTTTCAAATCTGTCTCTCGATCAAAGCAAACAACAAAGAGTCATTTAAACCACTGCTTAACTGCGTACATTACCTAAAAACTTTCCATTTCTAAATGAGGAGAAGACTGAGGTGGTTGCTTATGGTCGCCCCAAACAGCTCAGTAATTCACTCGCACTTTTGGCACTTTAGGGTTTTAACAGTTAACCTTTTACCAGGATCTTATTTTTGACAGTGGTTTCAAATTCAACGGACAGATTAGCTCTGTGGTCAAAGCAGGGTTTTATCAACTCGGACAGTTGGCCAAAATCAAGCCCTATCTACCTTGAGAGAGTTATCCATGCTTTTAATTGTATTTGCCCCAACTATTGTAACTCCCTTTTTGCAGGCCTGGGTCACTCTGCTATCTGAAGTTTACAGTTAGTTCAAAATGCAGCTGGTTGACATCTTACAGGGGCAAAAATGTGAGAGCACATTGCACCAGTTTTATCCTGTCTTCATTGGCTCCCTGTCCCTTTTTTAGAATTGATTTTAAGATGCTATTCCTTATTTTTAAGTTTTTGTATGGCCTTGCACCCCCACCTCCCCACCATTTAGCTGAGCTTTTAACTATCCACGCTCCACTTAGGGCACTAAGGTCTTCCAATCAAATGATTCTGGATGTTCCCAAGACAAGGCCTTTTTGGTTCTAGGCCCTGTCTTGTGCCAACCCCAAAACATCAGATCTGTTTGTAGTGCAGAGACCTTCAAGTCTTTACTCACCAGGTATTCCTGGCTTTTAGCTCGAGTTGAGTACAGACATATCAGTGCATTCCTATTTTTATTCTATTTTTATTTTAGCGTATTTTATCTATTAATCCTTGTGTTTTGTTCTCACTGGATGAACCTGTAAAGCATTTTAGTCAAGAACCATGACCATGGGATAGTTTTCCACTTCTGCTCAATGCATCTTAAATTAAGCTCAGCTTCTAACAGGCAGCACTGCATTCGACCCTCGTTTAGATATGGTTTTGTCTTTGCATTGTAGCTTTTTAACTCGAATTTGTGGATGAAGCATCAAAAATTGGTGACTGATCACAGCATTCAAAGGGTTCCTGATTTCCACCCCAGAAATGTGCATTTTCCATGCTGCACTGCCTGAGGGCCTGAATCTGTTACAGTGTTAACACAAAGAGACAACCACTCACACTCACTTTCACACCTACTTTCAAATTTAGAAACACCAACTAACTTAAACTCATACATGTCTTGGATATATAATGTAATTTCCTGTAAAAGTTGAATTCCTCATATTCTTTGCAGTCTTACTTTGAGAAACATTTTAAATGGTTCAACACATTGGTGAACCCCACCATATTTTTCTTAATCTATCAAGATGATGCGCTGATTATTTTCAGTCAATTCTTGGAGAACTCATTATTATACATTTAAAAGTGGTCTTTATTGTATAAATCACTTCTGAATAGAGCTTGGGCGCTATGGATAAAAACCAGTGCAGGCGTAGTTAAATTCACCCTTAGAGGCCTGTTTTAAACCAGGAGAAACCCTGTCTACATCACATTGTAGTTTGTCTGAAAACATCATGTAAATTTAAAAACCGATATGCTGATACTTTGCTGCTCGTGGCCATGAGTAGTCATAGTAGTAGCAGCTATTCAAGCTGTACCTCAGAGCCTCTGGGATATTGGTAACCCTCAGCACACTAATTCTCCATCACTGGCCATGCAGGGGGAATGTAATCTTGTTACATTAGCTCAATCAATTATTTACTGGGGCATGCTGCTAGCCAGGCTGTAATTTCAGTACACTCTTTCTCTCCTGCCAATCAGAGGCTTTGAATTGGTGTGAAGTACTCATCGTGCTTATAATAGTTTACTGCTCCAGAGGCTGTGCACAACAATACTGTAAATGCCCACACGTGTACTCAGGTAGCTTCTGATGAGATACAATAGGGGGATATGCAATTTTTTTTAATTTAAAACATAGCTAAAATACTTTTTCTGTCTTTACCTGTGAATTTATTTTCCTTTTGGAAGTGCCAGCACTAAATTCAATGTATGATTCTTCATATGAGTCCAAGAAGAACTCTAGATTAAATTTTAGTGTTTGCAGTAGCTTTGTTAAAGGGAAAAACATCTACATGGATGTAATGCCTGATGTAAATAAGCCACTTAGCATATAATATTATAAAAGTTACAGAAATCGCTTCATGACTCACATTTCTTTTGTATTTTCTGTGTAGAAAGAACGCTGGAAATCAAGTAACGTCCTGCTCTGTTATCCTATTTCCTTCCTACAGGTGGCTTTGGCAGTGCTCCGGTGTTTGGGAGTCCTCCTTCTTTTGGGGGTTCCCCAGCATTTGGTGCTGGAGCATCTTTTGGCTCAAGCCCTTCATTCAGCAGCCCCATTGGATCATCGGCTGGCAAAGTGTTCGGAGAGGGCACAGCGGCTGCCAACATGGGAGGATTTGGGTAAGCAAGACGAAGTCTTTTTTGAAAGGTTTGATATGGAAAAAAAATCCATCGTTATCTAATTAAAGCTGACTTTAGAGCAACCTAAAGGTTCAGCCACTTTGATTCAGGGTGGCTGAACCTTTAGCTGAACTTTGTTTACAGAACTTCTATCTACATCTAGTTTGTCTGTAATCTATTTTCTGTGCCTGCTCTGATATTCAAGGTTTAAAGCGGCAAATATTTTCAGTAGAACAACCTCTTATTGACAAAGTAGTGTAACAAAGAACTGTTTTTTTCTCATCCAACTGTTGCAGACAATGAGTATTTGAAAATGTCATTGTCATCAGGCTATTATTGTCATAATAGGCACCTTTCAGTGTGCTCAGCACTACAAGACAAACCAGCTGAAAGCAGCATTTAAAAACACTATTAAAAACCCCATTAACATTTAAGTGTAGAAAAACAAAACATTTTTATTGGTCTATAGAGTTATACGAGGCACATTTGGGAAGTGAGGCTTAATTTTATTACTTTTAAACACACACATTTCTATCTAATCTAATTCCAGCAGTTCTGACTTCAGGCAGGATTTCCTGATTATTATTATTTTAATCCTCCCCTCCTCCTTATCATTTGTACTCTAATGATTTGCATTAACCTCTGGTGTGTTCACATGTGCATGTGTTTTGATACCAGCAACCATGGTTGCCAGCACAAAACAAACCCAGCTCTGTGCCAGACTAGATTATTCCCTCCAGATAATCTCAATCTGGGGTCATGAAGCCTGCAGATTAAACTGACAACATGCTCTCTCTCTTTCACTCTCTCTCTCTTTCACTCTCTCTCTCTTTCCCTGTTTTGCTTATTCTTTTTTCTCTCCCTTGGGAGTGAGCGGGCGTTGGGTCCTGTAGAAAGGATTAATGTATAAATCCCAGCCTGTCAATCCTCACATGCCAAACGAGTAAAAAAAAAATAAAATAAAGCTAAACAAATTCACATTCACTATCTTGAATGTTCTGCTTTGTTTACATGTTTAACTAACCAATGAAAACATCTTGGACAAACTATTTGCCCACATGTATGTGTGTATAATTATGAATTTATGACTATCAGCCCAGTAACCTAATATTGTCAAGCATTTTGTCTTACCAGCCCCATTCAGGTGTGGCTGTCTTTTTTTCAGTTGTAACTTTTGCATTTTACAGTATCACAACCTCAGCACCTGCTCCGGTTTTCAGGTTTGCCCCACCTCCTAGCACACCGTCCTTTGGTGCGCTAGCCGGTCAGAGCGCTCCATCATTCGGGAGCCTGGCCCAGCAGGGACCTGGGTTTGGAAGTCAGCCCAGCAGCTTCTCAGGTTTTGGACAACAGCCACAGCCAGGAGGTGAGACTACTACTTTACCTGAATTATTTTTGTTTTTATTTTTCCCCCTTCCTCATCATCTTCAGCTGCCATCTTGCCTGCTATCACTCTAGTTACATAGTACAGTGAGTCACTCAACAGCGCCATTCTTCCAGCAACTGTACAATTTTTGCCATTGTACAGTGTTTATCACAAGTTTCTTTACTTTAACTGTCTTTCAAACTTGAAAAAGGAAGATGGCTTTATTGTTGTGCAATAGAAATTTGGTATTGCTACCAAACAAGTGTTTTGTTGTGTTAATTACACTTTTAGGGTAGATTGTGCATCAGATGAAGATTTTAAAAAGTGTTAAAATTTCCTCATTTGGCAACACAATGCAAGTTTGTGCGAAACATATCCAAGGAGTACTTCCCTCTCAAACATGATCAGTTCAGCTTGGTTGCATTTCACAGCCACAAAGGATGGATGAATACATTTTATGTTTCATGGGCTAATGAGACAGAAAGGGGTTCACTGTAACACACTGTATGGTGAATTTGCCTGTCCTGCACATCTATAAACTTTCACTGCATTACAGCTGTTACAGGTTTCTTTGCAGAGATGACTGGTGTGCATTCCTCTGAGTTTTCATGCATGCAAGATCCAAATTATTTTTCCATGCACTCATTTCTTTGATTTTTCTCTCCTTTGTTTCAGTCCTCTGCTTTATTTTTTTTCTGAAGTTTTAATGGTATTGTGGATGCACACTATACACAATATGCATACTGTACATAGGACTGTCCACTAACCCACTTCCAACACATAGGCACACAGATCATGTGACTCATGCTGTGAAGTGAGACTTCCATTAGTCTTTTTTCCCACTTGCAGTAACAATTACCAAGTTAATCATGTATTTATTTTTTATATTTTTAGGATTCTCTGGAAACACCTTTGGGTCTGCAAACCAGTAAGTGTGGTCCATCCATCTAGTTTTAATTAGTCTTTTTGTGTTTTTTTTTTCTTCTTGTGTGTGTTAATGTGAACTGATAAGTAGACAGACCCACATTTCTCTATTCCTCGCTGGCAGCACTGCATTGTGCCTGTGGTATTTGAACTCTGCTGAAGCTTCCATCTTGCACCGCAGTGCTCCCTATAGAACCTTTCAGATTTAATACCACCTCATCTAACCTCATTTCTTTCCTCTTTTCCATCTTCTTTCTTTCCTCTGTTCCTCATAGTCGCTCATATTCACCATTATTTCACTGCATTATCTTACAGTAAATTTTGAAAGCAATTATTATAGGAAAATATTGTTTTTAGTCATATTTAGAAGATATTCAAAAAACTACCCAATGCTGCACTTGCTAAATCTATAGCACATGAAGGGTGTGTGGGTGTGGCTTTTCATTCTCAGCCCCTGTGAAGCTGGTGCTCCTTACTTGGCTGTGCATGGTTTAAATGTTCAAGCAGAGCTTTCTTACTAATTAAACCTAAAACTAATTAAAGTGATTATTTTTTCCTTCCCCTCTTCTCTATCTCCTTTTCTTTCCTGTCATCCTTCAGTTTCACTTTCTACCTTTTTTATACTGCTTCTCGCTTCATTTTCCATGTGTCACATGGCAGCCAGTGTTTCCCCGGGGTGTGTTCCAGTGGAATGCACTCTGAAGTGTGCAGGAGTGTGTGAAGACAAGGCTTAGTCTATTGGACACATTCACATTCTGTTAATAATCCTTCTCTTTCAGTCTTTTCTGCTTTTCTCTTGTGTCTGCCTTCAAAACTGTATGCATATTACATTCTTTGTATAGACAGGATTGTTGCCAAGTCAAAATTGCCTTTACTTTTATTTCTCAAATCTACAAGCGTTATAATTTTTGATTTAATAATATTAACAAAAAACCCTCTACTACAATGACACTGGGGAAAAAGACTGAATTAAAACGAAATCCATTCGTGATTATCAAGAAATTATTTGTAGGAACCTTTGATTTGTGTTTAAACCTTAAAAAGAACGAACAGAAAGAGTCCACTGTTTTTATTACCCTGTGCTGTGAAAAACTAAACATCTCCATTGACAACTCTAAAACCAGTTTTGAAAAACGTAATCATTGCTAACAATAAATCAAAATCCTACAATAAAATATGGCATATCAGTGCTCTTAACAGCAGCTCTCTCCAATGTAAAAACCATTCATCATGTACACTTGTCATTGCTGCCAAGACAAAAGGCAAATGCAGGACTACAAAATCAGACACTTTCACTGAATTTAACGCGTTTTTCATTTGATTTATTTCACAACCAGCCTGGAAAAATGCTGCGGAAAGCAATTAGGACGACATGATGTCAAATCTATAAGAACACTGGGTGGGTGCGTGGGTGGACAAGATGTCATGGTGTCTGTGTTTTGATTTGCTCGTTAGAGGTCATTTTAATAGTCCTGCTGCTGACTTTTTAAACATTCAAAACTCTTTCTCAGTAATGTCTCTCCCTCTCTCTCTCTCTGATCTCTTTTTACAGATCAAATTCTCAAACATTTTCCAGTTGGAGAAGCTAGTTTTTGTCTTTTAAACCACCTTGAGCTACTGTAGATGCCACTGCGACATTTCTTCTTCTTCACTTAAAGCTCTCTGGGCCATACATTGGGAGAAGCGCAAGGCTGCATTGCGTTTGGGTTGGCTGCTCATAGAGCAGACACATGTTATAACTTCTTGTGATCTTAATATTTTTCTTGGACACAGTTGAATCAAGTTTTGACATGTTTACAAGTAAAGAGTGTATGGTTGTCTTCATTGTCACAATATACACACATCCAGGGTTGTTGCCTTACAAGTACAATTTTTGCACTTTGAAAACATGACTTAAAAAAAAAAACCCTGAGCTTTACTTTTAAACCTTTCACTCTTTAACTTTGTAAAGCTGTTAAAAAAACATCCAGTCTACTTTTACATTGCTGCCAATGCAGACTTTGACAGATTAGGTATGTGTGAAAAATGCAAAACTTGGAGGTGTGTATTTAATAGCAAAAACTGATTTTAAATTTTGACTTGTTGAAATAAGACGTTAAAAAATTGTTTTTTGTTTTGTTTTTCCCACCACTAAATCCATCCCTCGGATGTGTATTTTTACATGGAAAACTAAGAATAAATCAAATATTTCAAGTTTTTTTGTCTACGCTTAATGTGAGCACTGGTAATAATTTGTCTTGCTCTGTTTTCCCATGAAAATAACTGTAGCTGCCTGGATAGAAATCTTTGATGTAAGGTGCTTTCAGTGCCATTGCTAAAGGTGTGTAAAATCGAGCACCGGTCCATGCAGCCTGCCTTTTACAAGGATTTGTGAAAGAATGTGTGGCTCTTAAGAGCGTGGTGCTGTAATAGGATTCCTTTATTTTAGGCCCTCCTTGATATTCCGCGATATTAAACTTCAAGTACTATTATTACAAAGTAGAATCGTTAAGGAGCTACAGAACCCAACCATGAAGTGGCAGACTACATAAACTTACTGATTAGAGTCACAGAATATCTAAAAGATGCAGCGATTTGCTGACTCAATCTTCTGACATTAACATCGGCACAAAAACTGCACCAATAGCTTAATGGCATGTGTTTCCATGGATGAGCATCTTCTGTAGGAATAATGTACAGGTGGCCCATTACTTGTCTACAAATTGTAATATGATTATAGCTGAGAGAAACTTTCCACTCTCATGCCAGGAGTATAAAAACAGGCATCGTCTGAACATCAGTCTCTCTGCTCAGTGACGTTCATTGAAATACACTGACCACAATATAATTGTGAGGAGAAAACATAAAGCTACACTTTAACACGAGTGGGTGGCATGAAGAACAACATTAATTAGTGAACCATGATATGTACCTTATTTTCTTCTTTGCTTCTGGAAGGATGTGAAGGTGGCTGTGGGCAAATGTTGAGGGAGGTCCGTGGCTTGTATCAGAGCCCTGATGTTTGTGGCATGTGGCCCCAGGAAGCAGAGTTACATTGTTAGCTTATGGCTGTGGAGGATGTCACTGTCACTCTGTCAGCCCTTATCTTGCATCTCTCTGCAAACGGATGGCAGACGTCCTGGTGGGCCTGAAGTGGCATGGGAATGTCAGGGTCATGGCATGTGGCCTGTAATAGACACCTGCTAAAAAAGAAAAGCCCACATTCTGTCCTCAATAGATAAAAAGAGCAGGCTGGAGCCTTTGATGGCTTTGGCATCCACAAGTGAAAAATAAGTGGCTATAAATGGATTTTATATGCAAATAATTGGTTAATGAACAATTGAACAATGAAGATCCAAAGAAAATATTCAGCGATTTCAATTTTATTTTGAAGAAGAATCCGATTATCAGCATTACATACATGATCGCACTGAAACCTTTTTGACATCTCAGGTAAAGATTGATAGTTGGACACGATGGCAGATTACAGCAGCACACGGGCTGTTGCAGAGCCTGAAGTCTGTAATGCTTTCAGCTAAACCGGATGAGCTTATGAGATTTTCAGCACCCACTCCACAACTGGCCTCAATGAAAGCATTAAAAGAGGAGCCTTTATTGTAATTAATATTATTTTACCACATGCCTAACCGAAATACTCAGAGGTGATGTGTCTTCTGGTGTCTAATGTCATTGTTCCTGGGGATAAGAAGGGCAGGAGAGTCTCACACTCGGGAGGTTGGCAGCTGTCTTCATGGAATCCGGATAAAAATAGTTTAGTCCAAACCAAACACCCACCCATCCCTCCCCCAGCCCCACCCTCATTCTCGGTTGTCTCCCAGCCCAACCCCCCATTCAGTGATGATTAGCAGCTCCTGAGCACATATTCATCATTGTTGCATGAGCCTCGGTGTGTGCTCGTTCGAGTCTTTAGGCATATCTATGAACAGAGTGCTATTTCTACAGTAAATGCTGCTGATTTTGGTCACTAAAGCAGCCCAAGTTGTGAATATTTTAGCAGCTAGCCTGTTTTGAGTCCCTGTTTTGCAAGGTTAGGGTTAACCAAGGCTTTTGTGAGCAGCATCTCTACTGAAGGAGAATGCACAATATGCCCTAATGGGTAATTGTGTTTCTGCAGATAATCCAATAATCCACTAACAGACAACAGAGACCTCACTTCCTATTTCTCCTGCCTTCTGCATGCTTGCTGACTTTGTGGTGCACAATGGATTTACTCCTTAACTATGCTTTTGTGAAATTGTGAAATTTTTCAGTATTTAACAGTAACAGGGAAACGATCAAAAACAGACCACTTGGACCATATTCATTATGTTACATTAAAGGGGATCTGTCTGTAACGGCTGTCATCAACGGTTCGCAGTGTTGGTGTGTTAGTCTGCCATTTTGTTCCACACTGAAATATCTCGACAGCTATCCAATGAACAGCCGTGAAGTGGGGCGCAGATATTGATAGTACTTTGAAGGGATTCAATCAATTCCAATCTCTGTGGTGATTCCTTGGTATTTTCTCCTGTGCCAGCAGTGACATAAACGTTTTCATCTATAGATCAGTGCCAAATATTTTACAGACATGTAGGATTTCAAGAGAAATCAATTTAAATGAAATCTTATAATAACTATTGGATATTTTCTTTTTATAAAAATGCATTTTAGGCATGTAGACATGGTCAAGGGTAGTGTGCCTAAGTTCAAACTGCATCAGACAGGTTGAAGAAAAGTGATTAAAGTCACTTTGAATGTGACTTGAAATGATTGGTGCCACGGGTCTGACTACTTCAGAAGTTGTTGTGTGTGAAAATGCCAGTAGAGTAGCAATCTGCAGGGTTTACAGACTGGTTTTAAAAAGATGAAATATCCAAAAACCAACAACATTGCATAAAACTGCCTTATTGATGCCAGAGATCAGAAAAGAATGCCCAGACTTCTTTCTGCTGGAACATTCAGATGGTCAGTTCAGAATTTGGTGTAAACAACATGAAACATTAGTACCAGTTCATCATTATTTAAGTGCTTCAGCCTATGTGAGTAATGCTGCTGACCATGCCCATTCTTTTACAGACACAGTGTGCCTATCTTCTGATGGCTGCTTTAAGCACAAAGCTCAAATAATTTCAAAGTAGCTTTGTGTAGATAGTAAGTTCGCTGTACTCAAATGGTCTCGACAATAACCTGATCTCAATCCAACAGAGCACCTTTGGGATGTGGTAAATTGGATAGATTCGGATCATGGATATTTACCTGACAAATCTGCATGATGTTATCGCGCCAGTATGGATCCAAATCCCAAGAAATGTTCCCGGCACCTTGTTTAATCTGTGCCTTAAAGAATTGAGGCAGATATAAAGGCAAAATGGAGCCCAACCCAATAATAGGAAGATGTAGTCTGTGTAGGGGTGTGGGTTCTGAAACTCTGCACATCTCTCTTGTACACTCAGGAACTACTATCTTGTACTCCAGGGTTTACTATTTGTATTATTAGATTGGATCCTTTCTTTTTCTTTTTCTTTTTTTGTGTACACCCACTGGTACTCTTATACTTATGAGGTGGGAGTGTATGTTCCATATTGTCTTATGTTCTTCAAAAAGAAAACGGCATATTGTTCAATTTGTCTTTTGTAAAAATGGATGCAGAAAATTTAATAAAAATATCTGGGGAAAAAAAATAATAGGAAGATGTACCTAAAGAAATGGCCTGTGATTCTATAAAACCTTAAACTTTGCAAGTTATTAGTTAAAAATGTCACATCCTGATGCCTTAGTTTGTGACTAAATGTCTGAAGGTGATACAATTATATTTGTACATGTAACAATTTTTCATTTAAGTCTTGAAGCCAGACGGACTCAACAGGACATGGTTAATGTTACTGAAAAGGGACTTTGTAAAATCAAAATAAAGACTTTTTCTGAAATCAAATCAACCTGTGACTAAAAACTGAAGAAAAGACAGCATTCTGTCAGAGATGCCTAAAGCCAGAATTCTCCCACTAGCGAAATAAGTTGGTGTATATAAGCACTAAAACTTGTTGAAAAGTGCAAACTCTCAAAGCTGCCAGCGTGACTGTAGGCTCTTGGTCTTGTTTAGCAGCTTTTTCTGCTTATAGCTGAAGGTTGTCTTATTCTTTACCTAAATAACTTTTGCAGTCACTGATGTAGACTGCAAGAATGATTAAGCGTTTTTTTTGGTTTTTTTTGTTTTTTTTGTTTTTTTTTTAAAAAAAACATCTCACTGGTACAGGCTCAGCTTTTACTTCATACTCTGATTATATTAGATATTTTCATTTTTTCTTGATTGTTGTCACAGTTAAATTGTTTGAAGCGTCGGTGTGTAGAGCCAACTTCTACACCACTGAACACTCTACTCTTTGTTTCACTCTCATCACCTCCAGCTGTTTTTGTCCTGCAGTTGCGGCTGAATGCAATGGTCGCTTTATGCCTATTTCTTAAATACTACCAACAGCTTTGAGCACTGTAGCAGCACACCGATGAACAGAATGAGTGATAAACAATATCTGAGCCCCCCCAACCTCTCAGGGTTTATCTCTTTTTGTTTTTATTACTTCCCTACTTCAGCTCCAAATCTCCTCTCCTTTTTCCCCCTCTCTGTCTTTAACTCATTTGCAGGGATTATGCAAGGCCTGTGTCATCGCTTAATCGCTTATCTTGATACTTCAAAGGATTTTTTTTCCTTTTTTTTTTAAATTCTCCAAGTTCTAGATTCATGCAAATTTCACTTAGTCTTCCAAGTGCATGCAAAGTATTCAGGCCAGCGCCTTAGCCGAAAAGATCAGTAACATGTGAAACCACAATTTCAACACTTACACTGCATGTGAGTGGATTAGTGAGGAAAGGCTTTAAGCTCTTACCTAATAGACATGATCGTGGATGTCCAGTGTTGCATCAGATGTTAGAGGCACTCAGGTTTTTCAGAAAGGCCAAAAGGCTTGTAACGGCTACTTATGACAGCTGCTGCAGTTTCTGCTGTTGCTTGCTTGCTTGCTTGCTTTCTGCTGTTCCCCTTTAAACATCATTTTGACCTCACTGGTTTTAATATATGAATGTTTTAGAAATATCCACCAAAAAGTATTCTTTATTTTTGGGTCTTTCTCACCCTCTTTTTAAAAATCCTAAATAGAATCTTAAGATATTTTGAGGAGCCACTGCAAGTGATCTGGTGTTAAAGGAATTTTTATTTGGAGGATA